AATTGAAAATAAACAGGCGAAGCAGAGCTTCGCACCACTTGCGATGCAACATAATCATAAAAAACATGAGTCGAAAAAAATGACAAAACAACTAGGTGAACCAAAACTTTCTAGGGCTCCTGAAGGACACCTAGGGCTCAGCTAGAACTGGAGGAAAGCATTCAAAATTTGTTGAATTTGTTTACTGATGCGTGTCGAAATAACTAAATTTAAAAATTAGACTTTGCCCAAAACCTTAGTTGTTTCTCAAATTGAGTGAGAAGAATTAAAACTTTTGAGATTTCAGAATTTTCCCAGAGACCTAACCTTTCCTTACAAAAAATGGAGAGTAGCTGCTTCAGCAGGAAAAATTCACGCAAACGTTTCTTTCGATTGAAAATTTCATCTCAGATTTAATAGGGTAGTTTTTAAGCACATTCAAAAAGTTTCTAAATAACGGTCAAAATTTCTAAGAAACGGTCAAAAGACTTTCAATTTTCATACTTTTCTGCAAAAATTAAGTCGTGGCTGCATAAGCAGAGACGATTCCCAAGACCGGGATTCTCGAATGAACACAACCTGCTAATTAGCACAGTACACATCGCGTAAAGTAAAAAAGTTAACAAAAACTTCTGACTTGTTTTTAAGGTCATTATTTTTTTCGTAAGCAAACTTGGCATAGCCAAATATAAAGGTAGGCTTTCAACAATCTGTCCTTTCGATAAAACTTACGATATTAGATTTACCGAAAAAATAGCGAAAAGCCCAAAAAACGGTCAACAAATCAAAATTTTGACTTTTCGGAAATCAGCTTTTTGTGTGGAAAAATAGGGAGCAGCCGTTTATTTTTTCTACTTAACGACGGGCCGTCACCAGTAAAGTAGAGAAGTCTCCCGAAATCGAGTTTCTCGATTAAACGCTAACCTGAGAATTGGCACGGTATTTTTCGAGTCGAGTGAAAAAAAAAACTTGCAAAAACGGTCCAATTTTCAAAACTTTCAGATGTTTAAAGGTCATAACTTTTTTCTAAACAAAACTAGCCGTAGCAAATTATAGGGGTTTCTGGAACCGAGTTTTCATGGATGTATTATTTGAAACAAAGAAATTTTTTAGGTACATTTGATGAATTGAAAATAAACAGGCGAAGCAGAGCTTCGCACCACTTGCGATGCAACATAATCATAAAAAACATGAGTCGAAAAAAATGACAAAACAACTAGGTGAACCAAAACTTTCTAGGGCTCCTGAAGGACACCTAGGGCTCAGCTAAAACTGGAGGAAAGCATTCAAAATTTGTTGAATTTGTTTACTGATGCGTGTCGAAATAACTAAATTTAAAAATTAGACTTTGCCCAAAACCTTAGTTGTTTCTCAAATTGAGTGAGAAGAATTAAAATTTTTGAGATTTCAGAATTTTCCCAGAGACCTAACCTTTCCTTACAAAAAATGGAGAGTAGCTGCTTCAGCAGGAAAAATTCGCGCAAACGTTTCTTTCGATTGAAAATTTCATCTCAGATTTAATAGGGTAGTTTTTAAGCACATTCAAAAAGTTTCTAAATAACGGTCAAAATTTCTAAGAAACGGTCAAAAGACTTTCAATTTTCATACTTTTCTGCAAAAATTAAAACGTGGCTGCATTAGCAGAGACGATTCCCAAGACCGGGATTCTCGAATGAACACAACCTGCTAATTAGCACAGTACTCATCGCGTAAAGTCAAAAAGTTAACAAAAACTTTTGACTTGTTTTTAAGGTCATTATTTTTTTCGTAAGCAAACTTGGCATAGCCAAATATAAAGGTAGGCTTTCAACAATCTGTACTTTCGATAAAACTTACGATATTAGATTTACCGAAAAAATAGCGAAAAGCCCAAAAAACGGTCAACAAATCAAAATTTTGACTTTTCGGAAATCAGCTTTTTGTGTGGAAAAATAGGGAGCAGCCGTTTATTTTTTCTACTTTACGACGGGCCGTGACCAGTAAAGTAGAGAAGTCTCCCGAAATCGAGTTTCTCGATTAAACGCTAACCTGAGAATTGGCACGGTAATTTTCAAGTCGAGTAAAAAAAAAACTTGCAAAAACGGTCCAATTTTCAAAACTTTCACATCTTTAAAGGTCATAACTTTTTTCTAAACAACACTAGCCGTAGCAAATTATAGGGGTAAGCTTTCAACAACCCGTTGGGTCGCTTAAACCTATGATATCAGATTTGGCAAGATATTTATCGAGAAATGCCCAAAAACGGTCAACAAATAAAAAAAAATGATATTTCCGAGAGTCATAGCTTTTTGTGCTACAAAAACTTGAGAATCAACGCTTGAGCAGAAGAAAGAGACTCGCGCAACCTATAAATTAGATTGAACCAAAAAACTCAAATTTGGGAGGGTAGTTCTCGAGAAAAGTCAAAAATTTTCAAAAAACGGTCAAAAAATCAAAATTCTGATTTTCCGAGGGCCATAACTTTTTGTGTCGGAAAAAATTCGGGCGTAATCCTCAAAAAATTGACTTCTCCGAGGACGATAACTTTGACTTCTCCGAGGACGATAATTTATCGTGAAAAAAAACTATGAGTTCCTCCGCTAACGCACGGGAGCTTTCCACTGCCCGTTATCTTCACTGAACCCACAACCTCAGGTTTGGAAGGTTAGTTTTTGAGAAAAACTTGAGAAAAAGATCCAAAAAACGGCAATCAAAAATCATCAAAAACTTCCGAGGACCATTTGTTAAAAGAGCAAAAAAATTTGGGGGTATTCGCGTAAACAAAACAGCTTCTCATGACCCGTTCTTTGGATTTATCCCAAAATCTCAGACATGAGAGATAAATTTTGATACAACTGGATTAATAGGTAAGATTTTCATTCCGCTGGGAAATCTGATCATTTAAATCTACTTTCGAAACTTAAAGTCGATCACGTTTTTTATGAGCTTTACTCTTTTGCGGTTCAATGGATACCCCTTTTCTTGAAAATCGGTAGAAGGGTTTTTAAAAAAAGCAATTTTTTTGCAAAAGATTTTCCAAAGCGCCTCAAAAAAACCCATACATTTTCATAATATTTTTTATCACAAAGGAATACTAGGAAAACATGCCAAGCAAGGCATTTGAAACACAATTCAAATTAGCAACTTGACAAAACTTACGAAGCGCAAACAAGGCCGACAATCTTTGAGCAGACACCAATTGAGCCGAAAAAACTTATTATTGATTAAAATAATTTTATTTAAAAAAAAACTTTTAAAAGGTTCAAGTCCCCCCTGAAATTACCCTGTAGCAACTAGTACGCAGCCAGTAATTAAATTTGAATTTTCATTAAACTGAGCAAGTCAGTTGAAGAGCATGTCAGGTGAAGAGCATTGAACATGTCGGGTGATTCAATTGATGTTGTTAAGCTAGTTGTTAACTAGAAAAAAGTCTAGATTCCGATTTGATAACGCTTGTTAACTTATTAATAGTCGAATGTCAAAGCACTAACTATCAATAAGCCGAGAGTGTGCCTTGAAAGTCGCACCAATATTTGCGACTTATGTTAGAAAAAGAGGTTAAGTTAGTTTAAAAACTGTCAATTAACGCAAAAAAAACCGACGAAAAGGACTTTTTGCGAAAAACCAGCTTTCAAATTTCAAAATAAAAATGTATGACCTTTAAGTTCTCGAATTTCTAGAAAAAATACTTTTTGACATCGTGATAAAATTAACCGAATTTAAGAAACTGGATCAATAGGTAAACTTATTATTCCGTTGGGAAATTTAAAAATTAAAATCCGTTTTCAAAAGAAGTTTTTTTAAAATACCCTACTCCGTTCAATGGCACTTTAACACTTAGCCTACTGACGGTTGGAAAAAAGTGAATGCAAGGAAACATGAAAAAAAACTGAATTATTTTTGAAAACACTTCGTTTGATTAATTACTTAAGCTAATTGAAGTCTTATTTAACAAACTACAACTCGAAAAGAGTACTGAACGCAAAGAAACAGACTGTTTTATGAAGCAATTTCATTTTTAATATTTAATTATGAAGCAACATGAACTTTCGAATTTAGAGGAAAACAACAGATGCCCTTAAAAATCTTTGAATTACAAAAACAATTTATCAAATATGATTGTTGCTTTTTTGATGAAATTAACCCAATTTGACACAACTGGATTAATAGATAAAATTTTCATTCCGCTGGGAAATCTGAATATTTAAATCTACTTTCGAAACTTACAGTCGATCACGTTCTTTATGACCTTTACTCTTTTGCTGTTCAATAGTGGAGTTGCCTTCCTTTTAACAATTGAAATGAACTGAACTTAAGAAAAACTAACCTCGAATAATCAAAATTGAGCCTGAAAAAACGCCAAAAAAATCACCCAGATTTATATAAGAGTCTTTACTACGTTCATTACTCTAAAAATCAATACGGCCTAAATAAGTGTTTTCACTTACGTTAATTGACTCTTAAAAAAATCAACGCGACCTTTACTGGTGTCTCACCATTTTCATTGACGCTTTAAAAGATACTAAACTCGATGCTCTACAGATGTTCTTCGAGACACGGTACCTGCTTTCGGGTGAACAAAAACCACACTAAGTCATAGTTGTTTCCCACCCCCAGAGGGGTGGTTTGGCCAATAAGTGAACTTTTATATTTCTCAATACTGAGAATCTATGCTTTTCCCTCTTTGTCATATAAGTCATGATATTTATATTTTAATTCAAACTGACTTTACTACTGGATCAATCAAGCAACGGGATACTCACAGGTAAAAAATCCAACTAAACGCAAATGATCTAGAAAAAACGCTTTTTAAACTGTTTACATGCAAACCTGCGATAATTACGTTTTTGAATAAATTCTAAATTGGTTAAAAAAAACGGTAAATCCAGATTCTTTTGATTTAACCAAATTTTTTTAACCAGAAAAGACAAACATCAGAGAAAAAAGCGCGATATTTAAATGGAGCTCTTCAATGAAAAAGTAAGATAATCAGCTTATGCAACATGCGCCTTCAGTGAAATAGGAACAGAAAGTTGGCCAACCTGATGTAATTGTAAGACTCCAAATCTAGTCCTGTCACATTCATAATCCCCAGAATCAACTGGTTTCCCTGTTCGTACGTTATCCTGCAAACATCAAAATCTATTCAGACACTAATTTTTTTTTGAAATATCACAAATCTCACGACTAGAAGTCAATAAGCGTAGTAAATAGTTTTCATTGTAGAGTAAATTTCAACACCACTAAAATCACTGACTGATTAGGAGCTGAAAAATATATACACCACTTAGGTATTATGAATTAACAAAATATGGTTTAGATTCATTAAAGTTATCCCGAAATTTCAGGTTTTCATACCATCTTCAAACTCTTCGTTTTGTATTTTTACATGAATCTTTACATTTTTGAGAAAGATAATTTGAACAACACACCCTCAAAATCAGTATTTCATTTTAGTACAGAGCTAGAGTAAACGTGACTTATAGCGTACGGTTTCTGTGTCTGGACGAAGCAGAAGTTGGGATCCACTGCTGGCAAAGTTAGGGAGTCCAGTTTCATTGGGCCCAAAATCTCACCCTCACCTACACATCAAATCAATAACTTTATTCATGCATTACTGAATCACATCTTCAGAAAATTTTGAATTGTAATTATCTAATTTTCACAATTCAGTTATTAACGCTTATTTCCAGTCAAAATTGGCCTTTTGAAAATTGATTTTAAACTCGAAAAAAAAAACGATCGAAACATTGGTTAATGAGATCCCGTCACTTACCATTGTTGAAAAGTGTCAATTGTTCTCGTTTTTCCGCTGCATCTTTGTCCTTTCTCTCGTCTTGTTTCTTGGCTGTCGGTGCTTTCGAGATCGAGTAGTGCTCTGTCGGTTCATCTTTCGCACCCTTTCCCTTTTCGTCGTACTTTGAATCCACATACTCGCTGTACTCTTTCTCCAGTTCCGAAATAGACTTCTCTCCGTGGTTCGAGTCCAATCTCGAGTTCACATTCGCCGCTTCATTTGAAGATTCCGCTTCTCGTTTTAGAACACCTTGCATTGTTTCCTCCTGGTGAAAACAAAAGTTTGTCAAACACATAAGATTCGTCATTTGTTTCCTAATTGCAAAAAAGCGTATCGTAATCTCCTTCGTCGAGCTGAAAAACTGATGCGATTGGTGCAAATTTAATGCGTTTGCGCCGATGCTGATAGCCAAGTTCATATATAACCTTACACTTGCTAGTTTGCTTGAGTTAGTAGTAAAATGGAGCAGTTGAGTAAACTACCTGAACTCTTTGCAAACAATCGATCTGTGACCAGATATTTCCAACACAGAGGCAGAGCTTTGCTTCGCATACCAGCGCGAACACGACAAAAAAGCAGCTCAATAAAGTGCAATAAGAAAATGTCGAAATAAGCTTCGAATTAGCAAAAACTCGACAACAACTGAGATTCGAACCATCGACCTAGATATTAGGAGTCTCACACCCTAACCACTCAGCCACGGAAGCTTAATTCGCAAAGGCCAAACACTAGTCGCAAATAAAGTAGAGAACAGATGTTATGCAATTTCCAATGCTACAAAAAAGTGAACACTTTAATTTGCGAGTTAGGTTAGAAAAAAGGTTCTTAACAATACACTGAGCTGAGGCTAGTGTAAAGAGGGTGCTAGGGATTTTAGCAGACCGGTTTCTTAGCAGACCAATCTTTTAGCAGACTCAGAACAATTATAAAGTGTGATAGCTAACTTCAAACGCGGCATTGGCGTTTAGCGACCGCTTTCTCCGCTGCGCTTCAATTCAACACGAGTGTTTTTGTGTGCGTAAATCTTTGTTTTTCCGCTTATTCAGACTGTTGTTTTTGAAGTTGATAGTTTAGTTGAAAAATCGTGAGATAGTGGTCTTAATTGAAGAAGTTTGGCCCCAGACTGAGCGTCCTTTTGAGTCTGTCAATCAATCATGCATCACTTTATTACGCTGGTCTGCTAAAGGACTCAACTTTCACTTTTAATGCTAAAAGATTAGTCTGCTAAACGATCGGTCCCCTGTAAAGAGTATGTATACGCATGTGTTTAAGCTGAAGATGAAAATTTTCTATTTCCACTCCCGAAATATTTCAATATATTTGGTATCATTCAATAGTCCTTTCTTCCCTCACCGGGTAGTCGAATTCGTAGTCATAATCTTTGCCGTCAACGGGCATTGTTTCTGGGTATTCTGGGTAGTAGTAATAGTAGAAGACCTGTTCTTCGGGCTCGTACTGGAACTCTGCCACAGCTCCCTCGCCACGAGAGCCCAGGTCACCATCCAGATCATTCTTTTCTAAACAACGGCAGATTTAACAGACGCAATGCTAAAAGTGCCAAGACTGGAGAGAAAACACAGTAGCAAGTCTTGAAAGAATATACGTCTTGAAATTAGACATTAACTTCTGATTATTGCGTGATTCCAACGAAGAGCCTACAGACAACTGAGAAACTGCACAAACTGAGAAATCAAACGAGCAATTTGTGTTGAAAACATTATATTCGTTTTGTAACAAAAACTTCACTTATGTAAAAAATACTTCAACTTCTGAGAAAATTCCGAATATCAATTTCTTCAAAATTATAAAAATATTTTTTACCTACCCTAGAGGGGCAAAACACATACGCAATTATATTGATTCATACTCCTAATCGAAAAAAAACAAAGCTGGAGTAGGAATAACTAGGGAGCACGCTTCCATTACATCGCAACATTCTGCCAAAAAGCTTGCAGCAAGATCGTGTTTCTTTGCCGCCGGAATTCAGCCTTTACTTCACTTGCGAGAGCAACTGACTTGTAATCGGAAACTATACTTTTTCCCCTAAACAACTTTTCTTACACATTCAGCTGAAAAGCTCAATTCTGCTGACATACTCAGTTTCATGAACATTATAAAGAACAAATTTTGACACCAAATTTTGCGCCGCAAGTAATTTTTGAAAACACAGGTCAAGACTACAGTTTTTGGGTACTTTTTGGAAAAATTTCACCAAAAATTGCGTTTTTTCGGCGCGCGCTCCCCTTTAAACTTAGCATATATTGACACCAAATCCGCCCTTATAAAAATAATTTTGGCCTGAGAAAATACCTAAATTTAGACATTTTGACCGTTTTATGGAACCTTTTTCCTTTTCTCGAACACTACCTGCCAAATTTGAGTTTAATCGACAGAACAGAGTTTGAACCTTCCTTTGCTACATAACCGGTGTCGTCCTAACTTGTTTGATGAAACTTTTAGCAATGTTTGTATCGCAAGTGATGAAAAGCTCCGCTTCTACTCGGTGTGCATGTAGATTTTGAAGCGTGAATGATTGCTGAGGCGTCCGAGATTAAATATGCGCTATGCTAATTTGGTGGTTGGGAATCCGACAACGGTCAGAAAACGGGGAACAATTAGGTGTTTTCCTGGTTATCCAGTCGCAAATTTACATTGTTTCCTCAATTCCCCGAAACTGTCCCGGATTCCTCAAAATGTCAAGCCCCGGATTCCCAAAAGAAAAAGCATGGCAAACTACTAGCCCACAGAAATTGGAACGGAAGCCGCTATAAAATTTTCCAAGTCAATTTTTTGAATGTTTACCTCGATTTATCTTGAAAAAGTTGATGAAAAATGATAAAAACTAGATATTAATTAGCATCAGAAAAACGTATGAAGCGTTTAAAAAATTGACATTACTTAAGCAGAAACCCGATGGGCCGTTTTTTACTCATCAAACGACGCGCAATCATATTATGTAATCCAAAACATTTTGAGCAAAACACATCAAAGAGAAAAAACGAAATAAAAAAATTGTACCAAATCTGATTTCGTAAACCGACAACCAAAATATTTTAAAAATTCAGAACAACAGGTATTTTAAAAATCAGACAAACTCAAAAATTGTTTTTTGGTTGATCAAGAAACAAATTTGAAATTAGATTCAGCGATGTTGAGAAGTTGTTTACGGTAATGTAGGGAAGTTGATCTTAAAATTTGATCAAACGTTTCTTCGATTTTGTGAAATTGGCTTAAATTATAAAAAAAAAACATTAAATGAAAACAATTGGGCGTTACAAGCCATTGCATTGACTCACAAAACTCGTCATTTTGATAAGAATTACACATATCGTAAAATCATATTCATGATCATACCATACGATTGCCATCAAAAACGAAAAACAGCATCATCAGCGCGCCTAAGTTTTGTCTATTCCCCAACTTCAATGAAGTTGGGAGAGGCACAGAGCGAACACCTCTAATGCATTCTGACATTTTAATGAGAAATCACCAGCTTACTATTTTCATATCCGCCGTGTAGCATGCAACACCAGGCTCAAAAATTTACTCCATTTCAATTAATTTCCCCTTGCTTGTAATATATCACTGCCTGGGTGAAGACAAAAATAAAACATATCAGCTCTTTAAAGAAAAACCAGGAAATTTGTTTATCTTCTTTGCAAACGATCTAAAGATAAGAAAATCAACAATTACAACAAAGCACATTTGCACCAAAAAATAGACCTCGAAATCTCAATCCTAATTGCTTCCGGGATTTAAAAAATTAGAATTCTTTTTTGAACTTAATCCATTTGCAAAATATCATTTTAATTATGCATTTTGATGTCTTCACTTAAAAAAGTTGGCATCACTAGTAAATATAAATTTCAAAACTCAAGCTGCAATTCATGAAACATATAACCATTTGAGCTAAGTTTCTGTTGCTTACCGGAAATCAGACGAGGATTAGCATTAGGAAATAACGATTATGGTGTTGTACAATACAGACGATTGGGTCACTTTTGAAGTTAGATCAATTGATGAAATAAATTGTTTTGATTTCTCTACGCTTGAACGAAGGTAAAAAAAATGATGACGGGTTTCAATTTTTAAGGTCAAAAGATCTTAACCTTTTGAATCAGCTATGTCTCTATTTTCCTCCTCAGTCTCTGCGTTCAAATAGTCAGCTGCCAAAATTGTACTCTTCGCATCTCCTTCGCTTTTCTCGTCGCGTGTTGGAGCCTCGTCATAGATTTCCGAATCTAAGGCAGACAAGATAATTGTGGTTAGCACAGAAACCAAACATCTGATCTCTACGAAGTTGCAAGAAACTTTAAACTCGTATTTTTCTAAATGAGCTATATTGACTACTTCCAAAAATCTAAAGCACTTCACATGCAAAAAAAAGTTTACTCAAAGACTCAGTAAGCAATCTACATATCGGCATATAATCTACATATTAAACCAAGTAGAAAAATAAGTTTGCTCATTTCAACATTCAGCGTCTAAGTTATAGAAAAAAAATAAAATCAAGCCTTAATTTTCTAACTCGTGTTAGAATTAAAACATGAGAAGGTGCATTCGATACAAACATTCTATTATATATCTAAGTACCTAAAATTCATACAGCCGCTGCAAAAAGTGCCACTAACGCTCTTTTGAACAAAGTACAAAAATTTTGAATGGTAGCTACCTAAAATCACGTACAACAGAACATCGTCTCTAGATTGTACTTTTTTGTATAAAACATAAATCAACATTAAGGATAATTTGGAAACAAAAATTGACAAGTTGATTCATTTGGGGGTAAAAAATGTCATGCTTCATTACGTGCCATCTATGCATCACTTGCATGCCATTTAAGGGACATTTTCACCATTTACGTTATGCTGTACCTCTCAAATACGCTCCTTCGGGATAATCAGAAATAATTTGTTGCAGCTTGAAAGGAAACAATCATGTGAACACCATCGTCAACAACATTATGAACTATTTAAAGTAAAACACACCACCCATAACATAACCTAGACTTTCTAGACGTAATTTTGGGGAGTGACGGCTAGTTCTGAGGTATGCTATCGGAATGTTCCGCAGTTCGATCCTGAAGAGGCAAAAATTTTCAGTCCAGAAACCAGCCAAAAAACCATCAAGTCTATCAAGTCTCTGAACAAGGGTAGAACGGCGATTATCCGCTAAGAGACAAACATAGCCAATAACATAGTTGGAAACGAGTCAATGAACGCGATTAAACAGTAAAAAAAAATTTCTGAAAAAATTTCGAACTTCAAAGAAAAAATAGATGCCCTTAAAGCCCTTTGAATTTGTTGTTTATGATTACCATTTGTTCGATTAAATTGGCCCAATTTCGAAAAAAATGGATCGATAGGTATTTCGCTGGGAAATCTGAAAATTCAATTCGACTTTTGAAACTATAAGTCAATCACGTTTTTCATGACCTTTACACTTTTGCTGCTCGATTGAGTTTGCCTTCCTTTCAACAAGGAAATGAACTGAACTTAAAAAAAAATCAAAAGTCAAGCCGCGAAAGGGAATTTGAGCCTGGATAAATTTCAAGACTTTTCCTGATAAAAAACGAAAAAAAAAATGAATAAATAAAAAAATAAATCATCGCGGCCTATATAAGAACTATTTTCATTACTCTTAGACAGTTCGTCTGCTGGTCCTTATCCTTATCGAAAATTGGCTTTAATTTACAAACACCGATAATCAATTGATCGTTAAGTGCAATGATAATTACAATTTATTTAGCTTATCATGACTTGAAATTTTGATTTGATATCTCTTCAGCAGTTTCGTTGTTCGAAAATTATTTGATATCTTTTAACCCTCCAATTTCGCTAAATTGAACAAAAAAACACTTTCATAGCCTCATGATAATTTTGTGGAAAAAATTTATGTTGGTTAGTTTGACAGTTTGACGTTTTTTCATTTTATACACCAAAACTTGGTAGCGTCAGCATAACTCGATCAAATATTAAATATAAATTCACGCAATTCGTTTACGCGCATGGAAGCGAGGACTTATTAAACATCTTAAGCAACTTTCAACACATATTTTGACGTATTCACGTCTTCCTACACGCTTAATATTTTTCCTTATACTGCTTTGAAAGCTGAGGTAGAAAGTCAACACATTCAAACGCAACCACTGAAGGTGCGTGTACAATAAAAAAGGAAATCACGTACACGTAACGCCTGGTTTAAAACGATTGAAAGGCAGCAAAATTGCGTAAGCCTCAAAAACTTCCATTTATAGCAAGTTGTAATGAGGGCATCAGGTAAAAATTAGTATAAAAGAGGAAGAAAATACTGATTGAGTACAAACAAATCGTGCCGTCTTTGGAACTTCTAAACTGAAGGGCTTATGGTAGAGGGGCTTTATGAAACATCATACTGATAAAAACGACACACAGATAAAAACGACACACAGATAAAAACGACGCCAGCCTAAAAAATTGAACAGAGTGGTTGCAGTTCACCATATCAAATCGAGTCTCACGCCCGCAAAGGCACGACTTTTTAGTCCACAAGCTCTTTAAAGCTCATTGAACCACAGGCTCGTCGATTTTAAAGAATCTTTTGTTATTGCAATTTCTTTCTTAAATAAGGACTTGAATGGAAAATCTAAAATGTAGTATACATTTTGGTTCAATGAACCCTAATAAACCTTATTGTTCCGACCATTTGAAAAATGGGGAGTAACTTTGTATTCGGGTGTGCTTTAGAGTTTTTGTTTTCCACGCAAAATCAGCTACCACGAATAGTTATCGGAGAGAGTTGAGTGATATATCAAACTAAACCCCTTTTAGTCGTGATTCGAATGACATTAAAAAAATTTCAAAAAGTTTTTTCGATATTGAGAAAAACTGGTTTAAAGTTTTTGATTTTTGCTTCAAATTTTATCGAATAAAGCGAGCGAGCAGGCCTACAACAGCTTAATTATACCAAATTTAAGCCCTGAAAATTTAGTTTTAAGCAAATTAAATTAGTTTTTGATTTTTTAAGCTCCATTTTGGGAGCAAAAAATTGGAAAAAAAAATGATTTTTTTTTTCGTTTCTGTGGTAACTGGTATTTTCTACATAAATTGATTTTCAATTTGCTTCTTTTACTGAATATGCCTTATCTCTGGCTTCTCGTTCAGCGTCTTTTAACACAACATGCCGGGCAAAAAATGACACTGATTTGAAAAAACTTTTTTGTATTTTTTAAGACTATGGTCGTAACATTCTGTGCTACTTCCACAATAACCGGCTATCCTTGTTTCTTGATTGCTTCTGTTGGATAATAATCCCGCAAACATGAAACAAATACTGAAGTTTGAAGTCTGTTTAAATGCAACTCAAATCTCAAATATTTCGGCAGATTTTTCTTCTATATGCCGTTATTAACCTTTAGTAACCAGGAATGGGGTAAAACATTTTGTTCCCAAAAAAATTGTTTTCAACGGAAAATATTTGCCTTTTCTTTGTCCAATTCTTGTCATGTCTTACTGAAAACAATTGAGATGCAAACTGAAAGATATCTTCAAATTATTTTCAACTGCCGCTATAGAAACGCAGGTTTTTAAGCATTTCTATAGCCAAATTGCCTCGGAGCTTTCCATAGCGCTTCTTACTTGTTGAAATGTCTCTTAAGGCTAGTGGAAGATGCAATAGCCGTAAAACACCCCCAATAAAACCAACTGTCTTCGATCTATCAAAATAATGCCAGAAGCAGTATACGGTATAAAAATTCAAGTATACGGAAGACTACAATAAATACGAAAGCTAACCAATTTTTAAAAAATTTTCAAAGAGTATTGAAAAAAAACATAACCGACGGATAGTTGGAAAAACGTCAATAACCTTAAGGACACTGAAAAACAAAACCGAAACAAAACCATTTAAAATTGAAACAAGACTGCTTGTATAAAATTTATTCGCGCCCTTTGCATTTTTGCACTCGGAGAGTTCAAATTTCCTTCGTTCTTTCTGGGCTAACGAATTTGAAATGAACTTGAAAAATGAATCAATACGAATCAATAAAAATCAGATTTGAGCGTGAAAAAAAGACTTCTAAAGAAACATCAAACAAAACCATGAGTGTCGTTATTTGCTGCGATTGTAGCCTCGAAAACTCTTTGCGACAAATGATTTGTTCATTTCGCTGATTTTATAGTTATGTTTCGTTTGTAGTCCAGTGTTGCTGGCCCCCGAAGGGACAGTAGGGCATGTCTCCGTAAAATTAATTTATTTCGAAGAGAGCTTAGCTCTCCTGCTCCTGCGACCTATGTGAGCTTCAGGTATTCAGCTACGCGAGAGGAGTTTAGCCATCGACGGAGGATATTCAGAGCTGTTTAGCTGCCAGGACAGACAAAAATGGCACAAATCCAAATCTCTTGTCGAAAACTATCGGCCAATCTGTACAACATCCATCCCTTCAATGATCTTTGAAAAATGTGTTTTGCTAACTCTCTACGGCCATTAAAATGACTATGTTCATCCAACTCAATCCGTCTTTCGACACGGGCGCTTCAGCTAATCAAATATCTTGACAACATCTACATGGCTCTAGAGTCACTGACAATATACACGTGATATACACCGACGACTTTGAAAAGCCTTCTACCGCGTCGACCATGGAATTTCGGTCCAAATTACTCCAGTTTATTTATTCAGAGCTACCTCACAGGTCAAGCTCAACAAGTTTAAGTCGAAGATTGTCTATCTTAACGCATTGAAGTGAAGTACCACAAGATGGCATCCTTGCAGTCTTTTTTTGTGGTTTTCATCAGCGACATGCTAGCACAATCGACAAAGCATCGCCTATCCTATTCGCAGATGACGCTAAATTAATCAAACTCGAAACAAAAATGCCCAGAACTTCCAGCAATACCAAACAACTATACAAATAGACAACAACTGACGAAATGCTATTCAGTGTTAAGAAATGCAGCCACTTAACGATAATGAGTTCTGCTAAGAATTGATTCCTTTTTAATGACAAACGAATTTGTATTGTTGACGAGCAACCAAAAATCAGCGTTCTTATCAACAGTGAGCTAAATTGGGAATCCCACGTAAAAATGTCACTCAATTTCCAAAGCCAACTCCACATTCTGTTCGAATAAAAGAAACTCCTAATTTATCGAGTGCTATCAAACTCAACCTGTACAAAAGCATGGTTTAACCAGAATTAGTCTATTCAACGCCATTCATCGCCTCAAACATCCAGACAATGTGACGTCTCGAATCTTTTCAAAAAACAATCTGCGAATGGATTATAAACACCAACGGTTACAAAGACGCGCTAAAAACATCCTGCCTATTCCATACTTTCTACGAATAGTCTACATTTTGCTTCAATCAAAACTAATAAGCAACTACTACAACTGCCTTTTTCAGTAACATCACCCAAACTTGTTTCAGCGTTAGAAGACCCACGAAGACATGTGCTGAACGAAACTACTGGAATCGTACACTACGACTCGCAAACCTATCAAGAGACATCGCAATGTCAAACACTGCTGGACTCAAGAACAGACTACTCAAAATCTTCTGCGCTCACTTCAAGTCGAACAACTGGAAATCCACCTCAATTTAAATAATAAAAGCCTCTAACTGACCCCACTGCGGCTGAGACCAGAGGTGGATTTAGGGGGGGGGGGGGGCGGACGTTCCCTTTTCCTTCAGGGATTCGACCTCCTGCCGACCCAAAGGGTCCCCCTTTGGTACTTTTTAAGAAATTCATTTTTGGCCGACCGACCCTAAAATTTTTCTAAGGGTACCATTGGCGCCAATATATACTAACTTAAAGGGGGAGCGCGCGCCAAAAAAACGCGATTTTTTTTGTCAAAATTTTCCAAAAAGTGCCCAAAAATTTGGTCGACCTAAAAAAGTCGTCAAAATTTTCGAAAATTTTTTGAAATCCGCCCCCCCCC